AAACAAATCACGTAATAAACCGGCGGGTTTCAATACTAGCGCTGCGAAAACTATAGGAAACTTCTTCTAAGAAATAAGAATTAAAATGAATGCCTTCCGGTTAGTAGTTTTTTTTCTGTCAGACCCGCAATTATATCGGAACGACGAGGAAGTTTGTTCTTTTCCAAACAAGTAAAAGAAAAACAAAAGTAACCGATGAAAATGGTAGATCACTGAATGGACAGGGAAAATGAACTCACTCGTGGTAATTATCTCGTTTTAAAAAATCAAACGATTTTTGTAGTTTGAAATGCCGTGAACGGTTTTGAGATATTATTATTATTATTATTTGGGTCTCTTTTTTGGAAAGGGGGGAGGGGTACACTGTGGGGGGGGGGGGGGGTTCAGAGGTGTAGGTGGTTGTGTTGGGTTTTTTAAAATATTATGTGTCTTTGTTTTAGTCCGTTAGTGTCAGTAAAGGTGCGTCATGACATCGAGGTAGAAGTATATTCTGGTGCTTTATTGTTGCTCAAAGCTGTTTAACTTCCTGAAGGAAACATTTAATGTTTTCGTTCTCATGTTTTACTTTGTCATAGTGTGTCTTTTATGCATCTGTTTTGAGTTAATATTTAACACAAATTGTGTTTCAGTCTTCGTGTATAAAATTTGTTTTGTTTGTTTTTAAACCAGAACAAAACAAAATAAAAACAAAAGCAGCAAATTATATGTTTAAGAAGTTGTCTACTTTTGAAACTTTATAAAATAATTCCTTCAATATAAAAACACATGTAATGAAAAAACATTTTTAAACGACAGGTTCCTTGTGCAGTAGTAAAAAAGAATGTTCAGCTCAAACAACATTTTTGTCGTGGCTTTTAGTGCATTGATTTGATATTTATTCGAGCGTTAATGTTATTGATTTATACCTACTCGCATTCTGTGTCTTTTGGTGGTATGTGGACGTATGATTTTCTCCTCAAGATACTTTTTCCATCCTGTTTTGAAAAGAAACAAATAGGTGAAATGGTGTAGGTGTAACACCGCTATCAAAAATGCAAGAAGCAAAAACCTCCGAGTTTTACATCAATTTCGAATGGACCGAACCAAAAGGGAATTTCGTGTAAAGTACCTTCCCCAAGGAGACAACGCCGAACCAAGCAGAAGCTCAAACACCTCCGAACCCATAATCTCACGATTACAGTTCCAGAAGCTTAACCACTAGGATGCCGACGCCGTCGTGATTTTGTAATTAATCCAAATAACGTCTTGATGTTGTTGACAACACTTACGCTCCGAAAGGGGTGGGGGGGGGCCGTGGCAGGTACTCGGGTGTGGTTTGCGGTTTCTATTTCCTATCAAACACCTATCTTCTTCATCTCAAGTCCACGTTTTTTTTTTTAATTTGTTAATCTTTTGTAACACCTTTAATCTATGACACCTATTGGACCTATGTGAGTATTAAGTGCCGTAAAACTCTTACTAACCCCA